GAGTTGCAACCATTTTGCTGGGCTCCATGTGTTTCTGTTGACCCTTAGGAGAGCTATTTTGGTGTTAAATACTGTCAGGCAGTGAGTAACCTTTTTTCCACTTTACTGAAGGAATATGTGGCATTATTTCTTCCATGCATCAGCTGTGGCCTTAATCTTAAATTCGTCTTCAATGAACTGATTCAACGCATTAACCCACTGGAAAACTATTCTCCTTTCTAAAAAGAAAATAAAATACAAAAAGTTTTCCTTTGTGACTTTTATCCTAGAACTGACCCTGCTCAGGGTTTAAAGAGCACAATTATTGGTGTGAGATAAACAGAATGGAAAAGAGGTGCAAGGAGAGGGCTGAAAGGGGCAGAGTGACCTCTTGTTTCCTATGGCAGTGAGCAGGTAGTGAAGCCGACCCCAGCCATCTTTAAAACTCTGTCATGAGTTTTCTTTTGACATGGTTTCTTAATGTTAAGTTGTTAATCCACAGTAATTTCAGTGAAGATAAGGCTGATAGGCTGGACTTATAATAGTGTAAATGGAAGCAGAATTTGACCCTCAGATTAACATTTCACATAACACTTAATGCTCTTTTTTATAGCGATACTTTAGTTCTCTTTTGCTTCAACTATTTGGCTATTGGCTTGTGATCATACCAGTGTTTCAGTAGCAAAGTGTTTTAACTTTTGAGCTGGGGATTTGAAGAGAGTAATATTTCTACTTAATTGTAAGGCATGTGGCATTCAGTCAAATGTTTTAGGTTATCATCCCAATCTGAAGTTTTAAAGAAGAAAAGGAAACAAGAATTTTGTTTGGTTCAATGATATAACTTCTTAAGGATAGCTGGCCTCTTACAGAGTGCCCTGATGATCCAACCTGGAACCATGTGAAGCGGAGGACTTCAGGGGTGTTTGACTTCAGCCATAAGGGCACAGGACATTTTAATTAAAAAGTAGAATTGCTATTAAATCCAAGCTGGCATCTTCCTTCTGATAGTGAAGGGAGTTTTGATTCTTTAAATTGCTGTCTTTTTGGCTCTTGTATAAAGAGTGCATAAACCTTCCTTTAGAAGTACAGCAGCTTTCCAGTATCTGAAGGGCGCCTACAAGAAAGGTGGAGAAGGACTTTTTACAAGGGCATGTAGTGATAGGACAAGGGGTGATGGCTTCAAACTGGAAGAGCATAGATTTAGAGTAGATACTAGGAAAAAATTTTTGCTATGAGGGTGGCGAGACACTGGAACAGGTTGCCGAGGGAAGTTTTGGAGGCTCCATCCCTGGAAGTGTTCAAGGCCAGGCTGGATGGGGCTTTGAACAACCTGGTCTAGTGGGAGGTGTCCCTGTCCATGGCAGGGGGGTTGGAACTCGATGATCTTTAAGGTCCCTTCCAACCTAAACCATTCTATGAGTCTGTGATTCTATGAAATGAGCCACTGTTGGAGGGAAGAGTTGGCACATGCTTGCCCGATGCGATTGCTGTAATAGAAATGCACAACAAGGGCTGAATTTGTCCTGGCACTGTCCTATCGTGGCTGCTGGCTTGAGAGCCATGGAGCACTGTGGCTGACCACTGTGTGGGGGTCACCCCCTCTACACTGGGTCTGGGCATACTCAGTGCACTCTAGGATGTATATTGCCCCAGCACATCGGGGCAGTCCTACAGTTGCTTTGGGCAACAAGAATCCTTTTTCCTTCTTGACCCAGGCACTTAGGTATGATGAAGCTTTTCTCTCTAGTGTGGCGAGTTTAGGGATCCTGCCGTGGGAAGCTGTGAATTTTCTGAAGTCAGGAGTGTGCAATTGTATGGCAGAGTCAGTGAAGTATTGGAGAGTTGGGGGTTACGGTAGCTGTTATTTCTACTCTCAGTTCAGGACTATAAAGACATAGTCTTGTACTTTAGAGTTTCTGTGCTTCTGAAAGTAAGTTTTCATCTTTAGCATTTCAAACATTACTCACTGAACCATATCGCAAATGAGAAAGGAGAAAATGCCTTAGAAAGCATTTCCAAGTGCCAGGAAGCCAATAGTTGTTGCTGGGGTGTCTGCTTGGAAAGTTGGAAGCCTGCAAAATGATTACAGATTAAATTCTACTTCAGATAAAGCAAGAGCCGATACTTCTTCCTTCCTGCTCGTTTTCGGTTGATACCTCTTCTGAGGGAACTGCTGCTACCCTGCTTGGCTATGCTAAGATTCATTTGTGATTTTAATACACATTTTCTTTTGAAGAAATGTAATTAAAAAATAAGTAATACAGAGTATACATTTCAGAATGTAAGTGTCTGTCCCCTGAACTGTAGATCAATGATGGTCTAAAAGAGTGGTAGACTGCAACATGCAGAGAGCCGATGGGTCACATGGCGCAGTTTCTCCTTGTTTCAAGCCGCTAAATCCCATTAAAAGGGAAGCTAGAAGCAAATTTCATGTATTTTTAGTATTTTGGCTCTGTGAATGCAATTACTGTGACTGACACAAAAACTGTATAAAATCATGAGTCAGGAAGGAAGTGGTCTCTGTCGCTGTGCTGGGAGGGCGTTGGTCCAGAGAGCTTTCAGAGACCCTCTCCTTCAGAGAGCCTCTGAAGACTTTCCAAAAGCCACACTCTGAAGTATTCACTGTTGGCCAACTGGGTCCTCACTGGGAAGACTTTGGGTGCTGAGATGAAAGTTGTCCTGTGGGAAAAAAGCCCTAATCTGAATCAGATCAATTAGCTATGCTACAGTTGCTCTGTTACAATCCTTTTGCCAGTTAGGCTCCTTCTTTGCTAGCTTTTATAAATTCAAAGGAGTCTTGTTGGTAATTATAAGGGAAGTGGCTTTTATGCTATCCTGCTTTATGCTTTTTTCACTATACTGAAGACGTGGTCTGTTTAATATCTCCACTTTTACAGAATACTTAAACCCCTGGTATCCAAAACTATACGAATCCTTCCACCTGCTTCTCCCAGGCACCCCAGCCCAAGCTGGAGTCCTGCTTATAATTTTTGCTGAATTTAGCTGCGTATTTGAAAAGGTTACCACCCTTACAAGTCCAGTCTTTTCCAATGCTAGAAATTATCACCTGTGTAAGAACAGTGATATTTTAACTTAAACTACAGAAACCAAAGTATGCTGATGCACAGGGTTGCAATCACAAAATGGGCTCACAACCCCCTGTTCTGCTGGTCCACCACACCAGTAAAGGACTCACTTCCAGAGTAAGGGCAAAGCAGAAGGCTGAGGACAGTAAAATTTCCAAATGCCATCATTATTCAAGAGGGAGTAAGAACCCTTCGCTACTTCCTAAATTGATTTCACAGGAGACTACTGGAATAATGCTCTTTCTGGAATTCTGTCGTGTTCTAGTTGTTCTTTCCCTTTCCATGGTGGACATGTTCTCTTTCTTTTTCCTTCATCTTACTCTTCATACCTTCTTCTTTCAGTTGCTTTTCTCTTTTTCTGTCTTGTTTAGATGTTTTCTTTTTAAAGTGCTGTTTCTGCCAGAAAAGAGAGAAATCAATACACATGTATGTAAAATAAAGAACCTGTCACTGCCTTGATTCTGGAGACTGGAAAAAAGTGTTTTCTAGTGACTACTTCTTACAGGTGTTCATTACAGAGCACAGACTTAACAGTTGATGTGGGGAAGGTTCCAAGATGTATTTAGTTCTCTATGAGAATTTGTTTATGCATTTATAAAAATCTGCCAAAATCAAAAGTTGATGAACATATAAATACCTGAAAAAAATATCTTACAGCCATAATTTTTGTATTTTCTGGTTATGGAGCACCGGGCTTTACAACCTTACTATTTTTAATATAATTCTTTGGCTTGTAACAATACTTCCACAGTAATTAAAGCCATCTAATATTTTCCATTGTAGAAGCCTCCCTTTTAGTTGCTTATTTCTTTGTCAAGTCTTAACTGTTTGGGTTGAAGCTTTCTATACTTGCTTTCTCCCTCAGACTGAAGAGTTTTGGAAATCTTTATTAAAAATGATATAGCTGTATTCAAGAATGGTTTCTGGACAGAAGTTGGCAAGAGGTTCTGTTTCTTGTTTACAATGACACAATTTTTATTGCTTTTTCATTTGAGTGCTATGCCTCTCCTGAGCAAATCCTCTGGAATTAGAACTGGGACCAAAGATTTGGCAGAAGGATAGTCCTGGGATAAAAGAAATACTACTTACTGTCCTCCAAAGACTCGGATAGATTTGCAGGAGCTACACCTTTGAAAATCTTTTTACGCATGTTCAGAAACTACAGACTTCAAAAAGATTTATTTCAGTGGCCTCAGGCTAGAGGTAATGTGTAAGACACTGACTACAGGGAGTGAGCAACACCCGTATACATTGAATCAGACTCGCACGACAGAGGGCATCCCTCCCAAATTGAAACACATGACCATGGAGGCCCAGCAGTCCAAGGTGATAAGGGAGGATGGGTAAAGGCAGAGCTGATGCCAGCTCCCTGCCTGGTGGGCAGTGCTGCAGCTTCCCTCTGGTTTGGGAGGGAAGTTGGGAGTTTGAGAGTTAGTGGGCTCAAAGCCAGAGAGTTTGGATGTGGAAGGGTTAAAGATGGTCAGTTTTCTTTCTCTGGGAAAGCTGGCTAATACTTCATATAGCTGTTTAGTTGTTACCTCTGTTACTAATGAAAATAAGAAGCTGGTTACTTTGTGCAGAATGGCCAGTGTAGGTTTTGGAGCCCTCAATACATATGCCCACTTGGTCACCTTAAATGCTGCTGCAGTGTTTGGCTGTTCCTCTCAGGGAACCGGTAAACCATTGCTTCTTTTTTTTTTTTTTAAATTTTTTTTAGATTTATTTCTGAGAGCATCATCTCACCGGGGTGGACAGTCTGGTTGTAGAAACTACTGCACTTACAAATCACCTAATAAAGTCTGAAGAGCGCTCTGGGATTCATTTGATGAGAGTGTCTGTATAAATGAAAGGCTGTTAATTGTGCGGCTGGCTGCCACGTGCAGTTAATGCCCAGGGCAAAAGCGCAGCAAAATGCACTGTACGGGCAGTTCCGATCTAGAAATAACCGGGAAGGCAAGAACAGGAGCTCAGGGCTACCTTTTGACTCTGTGATTTACACCACCCACGAGGATATCTTGCAATGTTGGCCATGTATTTTTCAGCTTGTTGCCAATCCTCGTGCCATTGCTGAACTTGATACTGAGGCTGGGACTTTGTAATTCTATCCAGAATGGCGCAGTTCTCCCAGTTCACTCTCCGCAGCTCCTGCTTTCGTTTTTCTCCATTTAAACTAGAGAGGAAAACCATATAAGCAGAATCAAGCTTCTTCACACTTGTTTGTGTTCCCACATCTGGGAACCCAGAACATGAAATATCTGTCAATCTTGTGTCAGGGGAAAATTTGCCTAGAGGTTTTATACCTTTCCTACAGGGACTTGCTCCTCCTTGACCTGCATTAACTGGCCCTGGCAACCCAATCCTTTTGTCCTTCTTAAGAGGATAGTCTTTGTTCAGTATCTTCCAAATGCAGCCCTGCCTGTAGGGAGGTTGGATACGTTTTACAAGAGGAAAAATACTAGTTTTATCTTGGATTAATGCCAACCCTCCAGTCTTGGAATTGCTGTAGTGCAGTACTGTAGGTGAGGGCATAGCTGGTGTCTGAGACCCTTAACGATCAACTTCGGTTACTTTGGTTTGTACGTTTAATTTGTGTACAAACCTGATGAACCGAGTTGGGAAGCATGAAGGTTACAGAGATAAGCATACTGCCTCAAATGCCTTGGAAACTTTCTGTGATTTCTTTCCCAGGCAGCTGAGCTGATCTCGTAGCAGTCTCCTGCCACCAAAAAAAGGAAGGACTTGCTCTTTTCCTTCCCCTGCTCACCTCCTCACTGCTCCCAGCTGTGTGGTATTCTCTGCCCCTTGCACCAGCCCTGCAATTCATCACTTTGCAGAAAGTGGCAGAAAGACTATCCAGCTTTGTTTGGTTTTGTTGGGTTAGTTTGCTGCTGCTGTCTCAAGTTTAATTAGCTAATGGAGAGGTTTGATGAAAACCAGAGTCAATCGAAAGAAAACAACAAGAGTTTGCCACTTGAATCAGGAAGGGAGAGAGGGAATGAAAAGGGGGAGGATGTTCTGCTCCTTCCATATCTTGTGAAATAACACCTTCGGTAGCAGAGTTAACTGATGCTTGTTGATGCCTGCACTGATCTGGGTGTTATTCACTAGTGACAAACGATAAGTGCTATGATGCGGATTTGCATGATGTGGACATGACCAACTCTGTTTCAAATCATTTCTGTCTTCCCAAGGAACCGTGCAAATGTCAGGGTATTCGTGATGGTGACTTGTAGTGAGTTCTACCTAGGTCACTTGCACCTGAGCTGCATTTTGCTGTCTGGAGACACTTTAGGGCTGATGAGCAGTCAGTCTGTCATGAAGTTGTCTGTCTGTAAATGAATCACAGGAGGTAACAGCTGCCACCTGAGTTATGCAAACCATTCTCTTCACTTCAAAAGCCTGTCCCTGCTGTTGGCTGGTTTGCTGTGCCCTATTTGGGGTGTGAATTTTCTCCTGAATCAAAAATATGTAAGGTGAGTCTCTCCAGTGATAAGGCCTTAAGGTCTATTTTGCTTTGTCTCCTTTGAGCAGCAAATCATATTTTCACTTCTGCCTGCTCCAATTTTCTTTTTAATTTTAATTCTATTTTTTGCTCTGTTTTTATTTCATCTCTAAGCTTTGGATCTCCCTCTTTCCGGTGGTGTCTGTAGGAACAACTGGCAAAGTCAGCAGCAATGACTCACTTAGCAGGAACAACAGCTTTGCTGAGACATAATAGGTTTGCTTCATTTATTTCCCCTAAAAGTAGGGCAATGTTCTTTCTCTCTCATTTCCCCCTCCCCCTATTTTTTTCATTCCCTCGGTTATTAAACTGAAAAACTATTTTAAAGCCATGTTCTCTTCAACAGAGGGTAGGAGGAAAATGACCTGGCATTGGATTTTATGTGACAGGGCAAGCAAATGGCTTTCTGAAGTGCTGGTTATACCTTAGGCTGCCTTTTAAAATATGTGTCCTCACAGAGCAGTTTATCCTTATCTATGTTTGTCCCTGGGAAGGTAACCTGATAACTACATAGAAAAAGTGCTGTTGATGTTACCTTTTGGCCTTATAGTCATTTTTGTTGTTGATTGGTCCCTTTGTTCTCATGATGCAGGACATCTTCTCCAGCAGCAAACGATTGTCTCTTTCGATGATGGAAAGTCGATCTTCCTCCAACTTTGTGTACAGAAGGGATAAAGAAATGCTTCTGTTTTTACAAGGCTATAGAAAGCTGTAGTGATGTATCATGGATATCTAACAGGGTGTTCAAAATTGCTGTCCCCTTCACAGAGTGTAACGGACACTGATCAGGTAAAACTCTGTGCTAGTGTTGAGAGAACCCTTTGTTTCACCATTTTAATGGTGATGCAATGAGAGAAAGCCCTTTGCAACGCTGTCAATTTGACCTTGGAACACTTGTCTGCAACCACAGCAGCCTGCATGATTAGCAAATGCATTTCATCCGTATAAGCAGAATTTCTATAAATATTTGCCAATGTATTTTCCAGCATCATCACTATCGCTTGTGTCTCTAGCAGCCTTCATAGACTCTTGTCAAAATCTTGGATTGTTGTGATGGACACTGTACAAACACATGATGGGACTCATCCGTGCTCCTCTGAAGACAATGGGAGTCTTTCTGTTGTCTTTGGTGGGCTTTAGATCAAATGGCAATTTTTCCATTGACTTCAGTGAGGTCTGGATTAGGTCCTGTTGTGGGCCATTTTTGTCCTGGAGGGGTTGCAGGCTGGTGTTAAGAGGAGAAGCACAACTGGGTGTGTCAATCAAATGGAGAGAGATGTATGAGGCAGTATAAGCTGTTTCTGTTCAACCTTAGCATGATTTTAAGCCTCTTTAACTTCAGTTTTAAAATGGAAGATTATTAAGAATCTCTGAAATTAACTGTATAATGAGCAAAATGCCTTAGTGTCAAAAGTGGGATGAAAATTGAAGGAGTGCGGTGGAGGAGGGAGAATCCCTTTGGATATCCTGGGGCATTGTCTAATTTGCAAAACATGTTACCATATTGTTTTTTGAAGAATACAAGTCCATGCTAAAAGTGTGTTTGTGGGGACTGGGAAGAAATGAGGGAGAGACAAAGAGAAAAACTTATTTTCAAAGTTATCTGAGTCCCAAGAATGTCTTCTCCAGCAGGGCTGAGTGGGAGGTAACCAGAGAGAGGCTGGATGGAGGAAAGCAGGGAAAGCACTCTTTTCTTAGCTGGACTTCAACATCTCCTTCTCAGAACAGAATCGCTGACTAAATAGTCTTGTTTTGAGCATACTAATTCACTCTTCTCCTTTCTCCCCCTTTTTTCCCCCATATTGGATTCTAGGCACTCCAACAATATTGCATGTCCTGTATGAAATGAATAGGAAATCCTGCTCATCCTGCTCTGATAGTTCTGAGTGGCTCATGTTAGAGCAGCAGGTACTGTAAGGAATCTAGTGCATCTGCCTTGTTTGCTGGGATTTATAACCAAAGCAGGTCAGATGCTGGTTACATTGTTGTATAAAAGGACCTAAAACTGGTGCACTAAGTAATCCCATCAGGCTCTGAATAACCTGGAGGGGAACGATTGTAAAGAAGAACTGGCCACTAGAAGATTGCAACATTAGAGGGTTTATTTTTTCTTTCGTTGTGTAGCAGTTTGGAAAGAAGGAGGATGAGAAAAAGACTAGGACCACAGTCTCATTTCCAGGTATCAGGACCTCTAGTTCAAAGCAACGTGCCTAAGGGTAGTGGGTTCCTGTTGGTGTTTTTCTTGTTAACCTCTGGGGGGGGGGGTTATGCAGTGTTTCATTTTCAAAGGAACTTTATCAGTGTTATTTTTACAATAATAGGAAAAAAATAACAGCAGCAATTGAATCCATGTCCTAATATAGCATATGATTTTATGCATGGAGGAGAAATGAATTGTTTTGCTAGTGAAATGATTTTAAGGTGCCTGGGGATTATGATGCCGCACAGTGAGATGATAAACAATTTTAAGGAAATTAATTCTGAAGTCCTTACATGGGCTATGCTCCCATTGCCTGAGGGGCACTGTGTTGGAAATTAAGTCTTTGACACGGTTTAGCTGCACGTATTTTCTACTGTGCTCACATTTCAGTTTTTTAAATCATTGTTGTTTCCTTTTAGCGAGCAGAGTTAATTAAGTAACCATTTATTTTCCACTCTTGTGTTTTAATAAAAATTTGCCTCTTGGGAGCAGTAAGATTTTGAAGGATAACTGCCAGTCAAGGCTACCCATTGTTATTTCTTGTGCTTTGAATATGTTAACATCCTATTATTCAGTTCATTGCTCTGCGTGTATCTTGATGATTGTGCTATTCTTGTTATTTGTGATTTTTTTTTTTCATGGTTGTGCAGAAGTACCTTTTAGGAGGCTGTCTGAACACTTTAGCACTTGTTAATCTGAAGCGCTCTGATTTCATCAATAATCAGAAAGATAAAATCAGTTATTTAATGTCACTGGGAGTGTGCTATTCATGGATCCTGACAGTCCTGTTGCAACAATCACTGCACCAAGGAGAGAAGAAAAGAAAAAAAGAAAAAAAAAAAAAAAAGGCCCTGAAATTGTGACCATCTGGTAGTCTTTTTGTTTTCTTTGAGAGGAGATGTGAAGGTAGGCATGCTAGCGTGCAGTGAAATAACCAATATTGTACCTTCAGCTTCCCTAACTTCAGATGAAGGTGGCTGTATATTGCAGGGGCACTTGTGTCCACTAGTGGTTTTGCTGCCTGGATCTGCAACAGAAATGAAATGTTTATCCATTTTTGTTGGAAATACCCTTGCATATCATTACGGGAGATCTTTTAATTCTCATGTTCTGTTTTGTTAACCAGCAGTAACACTATTAAAGATATGATTCACCACATCAGCAAAGCCAGACTTGCCCAGAAGAAGAGTAGTGGGAAGTGAAAATGTTAAAGGGAGTTGTTTTAAAGTCTGCTGGAGATGCAAAGTGCTCTTTATGTTGGAGAAATGTAAAAATACGTAAAGTCCGGTTACGGTGGTGTTGATGTTATGACACAGGAAAGACTGTCTAAGAGAAGGCAGGTAGTTTTTATAAGGCATCCAGCAGAAATAAAAAAGCTAGAGAAAACTTCTGGGTGCTCCTAAGCTGTGCCAGATCTTCCAAAGGGATGCACATTTAGGATGCTGCCAGAAAGAGGTAAGCAATACTGGAAAAGGACTTCTTGTGTTGAAAGTATTCCCAGGCCTCTTATTATTAGCACTTTAGAATGATCATCAAGAGCAAATTGTGGATCTAATTATTCCAATAATTGGAGTTGATAGTTCAGTGGCACAGTAATATTTATCTCCATGCTATCCTAAATAGCTGTGCAACATACAAGGAAGAAGAATAATCTGTGAGCTGCCTTGGACTGAAGAAACCCCGTGGAAGAAAAGCTGGTAACGGGGAGTGGAGCAGAGACAGGATTTAGAGGGAAGACTGCTCCCTCTGACTGGGGTCCTGCAGGGAGTGAGACCAGATTGGTTAAAACAATACTACGATATTTCATATTCTCCCTCTGTTATACCTCATACTTGAACTGTTCCAGCTCAGGCAGACTCAGTAATACAGAAAGAAGAAATACTTGCTATTTAAAAAAAAAAAAAGAGGCGGCTAAGTAACAGCAGCAGGCACAGCACCAGCTCAAACCCCATGCAACAGGGCATGACCAAAGAGCTGCCTGAGTGCAGCAGTTTTCCACCTCTCTCTTTGTAGCAACTTTGTAATGAGCCAAGAACCACGCTTGAATCCCTGATGGCAGACCTGTCGTACATACTACCAGGACAGGTTCTTTTCTTTTATAACGGGGTGAATAATTTACAGCATTGACTGGGACAATGTTTAGCAGTTTCTAGCTTTGTGTGAAATTCACTTAAACTGCTTGGCTTTTTGTGAAAACATTCAGCTGTTTTTTTTTGTGGCAGTCCTCTCTGAGGAGGTGGGATCCCAGAAGGGGCTAACTGCTCTCAGCTCCAGTTGATTTCAGGGGGAGATGAGTGCGCTCATCTTAATCCTTTCTAGATCCCACCATGTCAAGTAGCTGATTTTTACTGGGTAGCAGAACTAAACTTGGTAAATGAGGGGTTTTGTGGCTTTGGCTTCTGCTGCTGCTAGCTCCTCTGCTTCTTCAGGTGCTTTAAATTATCATGCTATTAAGTTATTTTAAAAATAATTTTACGAAGACACGCAATTTGTAAAATAGGGTTGTTATTGTATCAGGCAGTAGAAATCACCGGTGTGAAGAAAAATTGTGATATTTATGCAAACTCTGATTTTGATTTATAGATATGCAAACTGTTTCAAACTTGAACAACAAAAGGTGGGTTGAGAAACAACACTTCTTCTGTGGAATTAGTATCAATATAATACCATTTTCTGGAAAGTGTTATGATTAATTTGTCTTTTGTCCTAATATGCACAACAGTAAAAGGTAAAACCTGGTATTTTCTAAGCTCACACTAATCTCTGTTGTGGCGCTTTCCAGAGCCATGGTTGTTTTGGAGCCATTTTATATTTAAATCTATGCAGAATGTTGCAGAGAGGAGATGTAACTCTGTCTTCCCCCCCCCCGCCCCATTCCTTTCTTGTTAAGAAAATAACAAAATTATTCAAACTGGAAGTACATGGTGTTGTGTACATAGAAATGTACTGGCATTTTTTGTGTACCTTTGCATCATGGAGAAAATTATCCCTAACCATTGCTATCTTTTTAGTGTTCTTCTCCAAGAAGTGTACCTTTTGGGGTTTTTTTGGTATGTTACCTCTTATTCTCCCTTGTTCCCTATTTTTGCCCATTATCTCTTGATCTGTTTTTGTGGGGGCTTTTTGTGTGTGTGTGCGTGTGCGTGAGCTCCTTTGATGCTTGCCCTGCACATCACCAAGCAGAGGCCCTTAAAGCCTTTTCTCAGGGTGATCCCTGTCCCTCTTGGCAGAGCAAAAGCCTGTGCTACATGTGGGCTGTGTCATTCAGGACAACCTGCCGAATTGCCCTGCTGCCTTCGGTTACCCCAGCCCGCAGGTACCACTGCTCTGGTAGCCGGCACTTGCCGCAGCAAGCCTGAATTCACGCCAGCAGAAGGAATAGTGAAATTTCTGGGCAACCAACATGGGAATTTAGGAGCGCGCCAGCATGACAACACAGGGACACTTGAAAAGGCCACTCTTTGGCCATTGGACACCTTGTTAGTCACTACTTGAGCCAGGTGCGAACCCTGTAATAAGGAACAAAATTCTGTACCTTCTAAGCTGTTCCTTGCCCAACGTGATAGTTACTCTTTCTCTTTGCTTGCACTCAGAAATTAACACTTGTGTTTAATCCAAGAGCATTTGAGTCGTGGGAAATGTTTTGTTCTCTATAAATACATTTCTTCACTGTATATCATGATGATATCTAACCTCTGTTCTTGGCCTCTGAATGCCTAAGCGCATGTATGAAGTGCTCTGTATGCCGAACAAAGAAGAGTTCTGTATGCACAGCGGATGCTGAGAGTATTTCAGCTACACTAATATCAGTTCCCTGCTTTAAAAGAGCCACTGTTTAAATAGCCATGCTTATATACAATAGTAAGCCTCTCGAGGTTAATTCACACAGAAGGAAATTTATTTATTTATTGCAATATTGTCAATTTGCTTAGAAAAATATGTCAAATTCAATTATCTGCCTCATGTTTAACTTTTTTCCACCTGCAAGTCAAATTATAGGAACAATGGAAGGAAGGAAGGAAGGAAGATATTTTTATACAGTTAATGAAACAGACCCGGTCTGGAAATAATGAAGAACTATTTCTTCGTATTAAAGCTACTCATTTAGTGATAAAATCTTCCTAAGGTAGAAATACAGTTGAATCATTACTGATAGTATTCACTGCTTACAGATTTTTCAAGAGGGAGCAATCCTGCATTATTAGGGATTTGGAGAGGATGACTGACCATATCTCTTTCACTTCTAAATTTGGTGAACTTCATTATGACAATTCTAAATGGACACAAAAGCTATACCTATATTTGCTGGATATTCTTAAAATACATCTCTTGTACCTTATTGCTGATCAGTAGCTTTCATAATAGTATTAAAAATGAGTAGAGAGGTGCTGTAGCCTTTCTGGGTAAACTTACTCTTTCACGAAGGCCTCTGCTCTTTATCAAACAGTTGTACCTACCCTTTTCTTGTGTTCTTCATATTTTGCTTTGTCCCATTTTAGCTGAAGATGTTTGTTGCCACATGGGAAAATTGGCTGGTAGGCTCGATGCATCTTGCACAAAATAGAGCATCTCTGAATCTGGGCTTTAAAAACAAACAAACAAAAAGGAGTATGAGTAATTCCAGCCTGAGCCTTTCCTAAAGCGAAGCCCTGGAGACTTGTGGTATGTTTGTAGCCGGTCACGTGGAGGTTGTCATGGCATCGCTGCTCAGAAAAAGAATGAATAGCTGGTGGTAGCATTTCAGACAATACATTTAACGAATAGCAAACAAGAACTGAATGTTATAGCAATGCATTCCAAAGAGTATTTTATTCATATATAAAACTGATCACCAATTGTACTTCACTAGCCAGACCTTCTTCCCATGGATGAAGGAAAGACAGTGGTGGAAGCTATTAATAATACTTCACACACTACTGTAAATATGCAAAGGACTGTATAATGGGCTATATTTGCTGAGCCTTGAATCGAACGGCATGCCTCAGTAATGCTCCGAGCAAACCCACAGTGGGAGGTGTTATCTTTTGCACTGCAATAACTTGTTTAAAACATTATTTTTTTCATTGATAAGCATGCACCTTTCAAAAACCACAGCAAATGTGTTCATAGGGAAATAGTTTTGGTTTTTAATAGCCTTTTCACCTTTCTTTATCTGTATGCCATCTGATTGCTAATGAGCTACAGAAAGCTCAAACAAACTTGCAAAAGCCACTTATTTACCAAGCTGACCGCTGGTTCTTACACCGGGCCACCTAGGCTTTCGTTCTTTGTAGGCTATGTTTGGCAGGGAGATGAATGGGCAAAGATGTTTTCTCAGACCCACCTGAAAATTGAAAAGGTCCTTCTGCTCATTCAAGCTCAGCTTGGCTACCTCCTAAGCTGGGCTTGAGCTGACATAGTTCATTTGATGTTTCCATTCTCATGGTGTAGAGCACCCTAAAGCTGGGTTCTGCAGGCTGCCAAAGGCCTCTGCTTTTGGCTCATGCATTTTCTTGATAAGGTCCATAGTTCCTACGAAGACTTGAATTACAACTTGAAGCTGTCATGGGCCTTTTGAAACAGGTAAGATAATGCACGTTATATAAAAGCATGAGGAAGTAAGAAGGGAACCTATGGCTGACAGTACCAAAATTCACTGACCAGAATGGGTCTGTACGAGGATGAACCAGGGGATATTCCATTTTAGCACAAAGCTGTTTGTGCAGGTTGTTCTTACACAGCGTCTCATGTGGGTGCAGGGGAAAAGCAACACATCTGTCACACAACTACCCAACACAGAATTGGGGCCAGTACTCTCTTGAATCTCTGTCTTGATTGACTTTTGCATTTCAGTAGCAAAGTAAGGTTGGATATAGGGGTTTGTGATTTTTATTATAGTTGTTGTGAAATGGTGCTTAAACAACAGAAGCAGACATAAAATTAAAACCTTGATAAATACTAATTTTGAGCTGTAAAGCGAACACCCTTATTTTCAGACAAATGATGGAAGGAATTGAAGAGTAGGTTTTTCCAGCTGCTTGCGTTCTTATTATTTTCCTGTTAATGTAACAGGAAGATGTAGAGAGTGTCAGTAAAAATAATAAAAAGTACAGAGTTGAAATGCATTTCTTCAAATATATGTAAATTCTAACTGTGCACACAATACAATTATATTTTGCTCTTGAACAAGGAGAAATACTGAGGCCCTCATTTGCTTGGCAGGGTCTTGGCCTCCATCTTTTAAATGCTACATGTGTAGTGATCTGTTATGGACAGATCTGAAGGGCACCATTATCAAAGGAAGCTTCTCATTGTTTCTGATGAAGCCCTTAAAATATAAGGAAAACTTAGCCTCTAACATTCATGAAACCATGGTCCACCGAGAAACTGAAATCAGTGGGAATAATTTCTCAGCTGCTCCTCTATTAAAGTTTGTGACAGAAGGGAAGTGGCTTTAAACTTCCGCTGTGGTTGCCTGTGCTCTCTCTGCCCTCAAAAGCTGTGGACCATATACACATTCATGCTAAACTTGGTTTCGGGTGGATTTTTCGTGGTGGTGGTTTTTGTTTTGTTCTGGGGTAAGGAAAGCAAAGCTCAACAGTTTCAGAACTGACTGTCTTAATGTCGAACTACCTAAGGTCCAGCAGGTCCTTTCTGTCAGAAGATGGTGCTGGAAGACAGGAACAGCAGGCCCTACCTCTTTCTAATTTCACAGTCTAAATTTACAGCTACAACAGGGGATTCTTTAGAGTTGCATTTCACTACTCTTCGCAAGCAGACTTGTGAAGTACCCTTAACGATCCAGAGGACTGGACCTACTACCTCTACAAGATAACACAGGTATTTACGAAACATTTATTCTGTAGGTTATACAGTGTTATGAAGTGACAGCCATGGGAATTTCTGTGTTGTGTGCAGAAGGGCTTGCATATAATTTCTTTACAGCAAAAGCTACTTGCTGAAAAATAACAGATGAGAAATAAGTAGATAATGAACATAGTAAGATTTTTGCAAAAAAAGCATTTTCCAGTATGTATCAAGACATGTATACATTCAGCTTTCACACGAAGCAGAGAGTGTTTTCTGCAGCATAAATGCAAGATGGTCAATACCAGTCTAATATTTTAGTATGGAAATCTTGGACTGCACTGAGCTGCTTCTCTGAGATCTCTGTACCCTACGGCTCTCATAGGTTTCTGGGTTTGCGTTTTAATCTCTTTTTCTTTTGGTCTGATTTTTGAGCAATCCTGCTCATATAATACATAGGACTGTAAGGTCTGCAGGTGGCATTGTGGCTGGGAATTTGAATCTTGAGTTACTTCCCCCTTGAACTATGTTGCCAGGTTAGTGAGTTGCTGCCCTTTCCACCGCCTTGGCTGGAAGAAGGGCTCGGGCTGGTGCAGGAGCTGCCAGCTACAGCAGCTGCTTATGCTTATGGCCCAGTTATGGAACAAGTTAAAGAAGATGCTGCTTCTCCCACTGCACTCCCAATATAGATCATGGTTTTGGAGGTACTGTTGTTCGCTGTGACCACAAGTGCCTTTTCCGCTGTTTGCTTTTGGTATGAACTTTGTATATGTAGTAAGAAACTGTAAGAGGCAGAGTGTACGTTTTCTAAAGCTTTAAAGGATTTCTGTATGTGTGAAGAGGAAAATAAGTCCTTTTTTTTTTTTTTGCTGACAGCATTCCAGGTTATTTTAAAGTCGTGGCAGTTCCTTACCTTATTCGATGAAGTCTTTGACCAACTTTGGGCACATGCATAATCTGAACTTCAGGACTGGAGCCATTTGTGGGTGTGCTTGAGGATCAGGCCCAATCTCCTTTCATTCATTGCCTGTCCTGCCTGATGGGCATTTGGAGATGCTGAGAGAAGCCAATTTTTTATTTTTTTTTTTTTTGGTTGGTTCAGGCTGTTACATGATAGGATCCAATGCTGTGACTTTGACCCTGCAAGCACACACCCTTATCATATAACTCACAAGCAAACTGCCCGACCGAGTAGCTGAAGAGTCCATCTGTAGTCAGGGGGATAAAAAAAGCAACTGGAAAACCTGCTGGCGTGAGTGGGACCTGCTCTGTCTGTGCACACAGCATACCTAGCCGCTTCCATCGAAGGGCTGCCTGCGGTCACGCAGAGTGTGTCTTTCTGCATACATGTACAGCAGAGCAAATCTTTCCCAGTGTGGCACGAGCCGCTGGCTGTGCAAAGGGCACAAAGAGCGGTGCAAAGGGACGGGGGACGTGAGGGCTATGGCTCCCACTGCAATACAAAAGCAGGTTTACCAGATGCTTCCTTTAGGCTTGACCCTTTCTGGAAGCTTGGAGCAGGAATTAGTTTTTTGGCTGGGGAAAAAAAAAAAAGGTTGTTTCCCACTTATTGTCTTAGAAATTGAGAGAAGGGAAAGGGGGAGGGAAAAGAGGAAGAGGAAGGGAAAAACATTGCCATAATTATATGGAGTTTTATTTATATATACATATGTTTATATCCACATACAGAATTTTAAATCTTTTGGACAATGTTTGGTAAGATCCAGGATTTCCTTGATCTGCAGCAAAAATGCCAAGTAGACTCATGCTGCTAACTAGTTTTCCTCAGTGGTTTTAATGTGGGAGGAGGGCATAGAGGGAGAGGAGAGGGCTGTCTGAGGACTGACTGAGCTTCTGCCTTGAGGCCAGTTTGCCTGTGAGTCCTTAAAGTCCTTAGCTTTCCGAGGCAGGCAGGTCTTACGGCGGCGTGGGTGCCGTGGAGTACACATCCAGAGGTGAGGACAGGGCACTGTCCCCCACCTTTGCCTGAGGAGGGGAGCGCTTTCTGGGTAACCCCAGAAGGCCCTGGAGAAGGTAACCAGGAGCAGGCTATTGCCTCTGAAAAGCTGCTCTGTAGCTGGGGGAATCCACTCGGCCATCTGCGTTCAGCCATGTGCCCTGTCTGCGTGGAGAACTTAACCTTTTCCTGGATACAAACCTCACTGCAGCCATGAGAAGACCTGGGGGGTGGGCAGGCTGGAAGTGCTGCCGATTCTTTGTCTGGCAGTTTTTTAATTTGTGGGTCTCTTCTTGGCACCAAACCCTTGTCAGGCTTCACAAGAGCAAACCTCAGCCCACTTGTCAGCATGAGGCATAGCTAAATTTACAGCTGGAATTAGGGGAACTTGCCAGCGCAGGCAAGGCCCATGTTGCTGGCGCAGAGGTGGCAGCCTCCTAAAGAGCAGCACAGAGGAGAAAACTCGGAGGGGCTGGAAGCATAGCCACCTTCTCCGAACACAAAAATGACCGAGAAGCCACAAAGGCTTTCAGCTAAAAAGCAAATGCCGACAGAAATGTCGTTTTGTGCATTTGCAGGTGGGTGCATGGTGGTGCACAGGTGTTGTGGGAATGGGCTGTGGTTAGTATTCCCTGTGGGAATGCTGTGTGCTGTGGGTGCCGCTGCGCACCTTGGGCAGGACTGGCCCTTCCGCTCCGCGGGAGGTGTGTGATAGCAGATGCCAATGTTAATTCTCGCTAATGTGTTGCTCAGTGTTTTAGATTTGTTTTATTGCTTTCAGGGCTTATATTACTTCTCTCTGCTATA